TAATTTTAAAATAATTTTAATTCCTTTTGTAATTTTGTTATTTAATTAGGTACATAAATTAGAAAAAAATGAAGTTCTATATGTGGTGGGTAATTTACCTGAACTGGGTGCTTGGAATCACAATCAGGCAATTCAGTTGTCGCAGGAACATGGCAGTCGGGATTCTCCTATACTTTTTGATAATAACAGTAGTTTTTACAATGATGATGGACATGAAAATGCTGGAGACACATTTAGTGATGATGAGTAAGTAAACATATTTTTTAGTTATTTATAATGACTTATATTACCTCCAATTGCTCTATATAGTTAACACAATTTATGACATGTTTAATTATAATAAATTTGTTTCATTTAAACTTTGGCGGTGGATGTTCGGATCTAAAGTCGCCAAGGATTAATATTTATCCTTTATAAAATTCAGTTATTATTATTATATTTCATAGTATATAAAAATAAAATATATTAATGTAAATAATGTATTAACATATGTGTGATATATATATTGAAATTTATAAATTTCAGAAGTGGACAGATATTTTCACAAAAAGTTGCACTTCCTATTGATGCTGATGTAGAATTTCGATATTTCGTTGCTGTTATCTGTCAATCTAATGGTACTAAAAATTCGGCCAAAACTCTCATTATTCGCAGATGGGAGACTCATATGATACCACGTTTTATTAAAAAAAACAGTATGCAATTAAGTCTGATTAATTAGTTAGAAAATATTTCTGTTATGATAGGCTACAAGATTAAGTAAAAATATTTATTATAGCCTCTAGCAATTTTACCAGTGACACATTGCCAAGTCCTGATAAGTTCGGATATTACAATGGCTATTTCAAAAGTGAAAGGGGTTGGTTGACAGATGAAACTGTGATACAATTTAAACTTTTTAATAATCCAATTAAGTTGTGGAAGAATCGACTACAAAATAGAAAAGTTCATATTAAAGTGTGTTTTCAAACTATATTTCTATATTGATATTTATATATTAATGTTTAAGAATTGAAAATTAAAACATTTCATTTATTTTTTTTTTTTATTTAGATGACACCTGTAAATCTAGTTAGGCACAATTCCTTAGAGTTACAACAATTTGGAGGCGATTGTGTAGATGATAGTCTTTCTATGGATACGCAAGACATTGTTGACCAACCTGCCTTTAGTATTACAGAAATTGCAGTATGTATTTTTCCTTGATATTTTTTTTTCTGCAAAAATTAATGGTTCATTTTTACAATAATATATTCTGTTTTAATTTTAGACAATGAATGATGAAGAAGCTCATTTCAAGATACAGGAGCAATTTGGTCGAGCTTATAATGAAGACGAATTTATTATCTTCAATGTTGCAGTTCGATATCCTGAAACTATTGTAAGTAATCATATAAAATGTCTCATCAAGAAATCATAGTAAATACACAACTCGATGAATAACCATTGGTTAGTATTTATTGCTTGCATTACTTATAATTTTTATAACATTGCATTAGGTACATAGAATAGGTTTATTTCAAATCAGTCTATTAATCTTTTATATGGACAATTTTACAGATGGAAACATCAAAGACTTTATCTTCAGTAATATATTGGATGAGTCACCTAAGATTAAAAGTTGAAATATTTTCTAAGCGATTAACTATCCAAAAATATTTTAGATAAAAGTTGAATAATAAAGGAGTTAATTGAATTATTGTTTTAATATTGATACATAGATTTGAAGGCTATATTTGTTTTTTAAAATCCTTTTAATACTAATTGATTGGCCACTTATGGAATTGAAAAACCATTAGTTCAGAAGATATTTTAATATTTAATATAATTAAAATATTGCAGTGTGATATTTATTCAAAGTCGCATTTTTGTGCTTAATATCATGCTTTTTGGATTAGTTTGGTTAGATGGTATTTTTTAGATTCAGATTGTCTATTGTTTGAAAAATTTAACAACTTTTATTTGCTAACTGTATTGTGTTTTCATCATGCATTATTCAGTTATTGAAAAAAGTGATATTATAATCAGTGAATTATTATAAAGGTGATATTATTTATTGTGAGTGCAGGTAGAGAGCAAGTAAAATGCTGTTTATGCACAATTAGATATTCTAATTGAAAGCAATCTAGTGTACAAATAAAGATATTTATAAGATATTATAATTCTTAAATAAATGCAGAAAATGAAATACGCATTTTAGACACAATAAATGCAGATCCACATACTAGTACACAGAAACTCGGTCAACAATTAGAAATCGAGTCAATTAAATGTGACAAAAATTCTTCATTGGACTAAATTTCATCCATTCCACCTTCATTTTCACGGAAATGACTTCCAAAGTAGAATAAATTTTTATGAATGAGCTTTGCTTCAGGACCACATTTTTTAATGAAATTTTTCTACAGCAAATTATTGGTCAGTAAATAAGAAATTTTCATTATTGATTGTTATCAATCCATATTGACTACGTTAAGTAGAATGTTAAAGGCAATAGAGAGTCAACATTTGATGCGGCATCATCGACAATTTTATAATTGACCATGTTTTATTAATGAAACATTAACAGCTCAAAAATACTTCGATTTTCTAATAGGAATTCTACCGTTTATTGGAAGAGGTACTACTTCTAACATGTATGAATATACGTCAAGATGGATATCCTATTCATTACATAATAATATTTAAAGAAACATTAAACCAATATTTTCCCTCTCGATCAATTAGACGAAGTGGACTGCTAAATCATTATTAGATTTTTTTATAAGTCTACATTCATGTATCAATAACCGCTCAAAACATACGTTAACAAATTGTCGAAGAATCGAATAAGAAAAATATCACTGCACTGATGTTATGTGAAACATTCTTTAAGAATTAAATTACAAAGTGTTTAAATAGCAATCGCCATCACGTTAGGCACATTTTGTAATAACTTTTACGTAATAGTGAAATAAATATTTATTTTATTCTAATCACAATGAATAATTAATAAACATTATACAATTTCCTACTATTACTAATGCTGTTATTACAGATAAATTCGATACTGTAAAAGCATTATTCTGAATTATCTCCTGGATTAATGGTTTTTCAGTATAAATGCTTTCATATTTATTTTATATTAATTTTAATACATTTTTATAGAAAATGACAAGCTGAATCAGTGCCTTTAAAAAAATACAATTTACTTAAAAAACAAACTTGATCTTCAAACGCCTTCCATCAACATCAAAAAATAATAATTCTATAAATTAATACTCTTCTCGAAATCATTCAACTTTTCTCTGAAACATTTTTGGATATAGTTAATCGTTTAGAAAATATTTCAACTTTTAATCTCGGATGACTTATCCGATATATAATATATAGAAAAGTAGAAAAAATTAGAAAACAAAATTTTTATATCAGGTATCCAAAAAAATTTTTTGATATTTTCATGCGAAAGATTAGATATTCTTGTTTTAAAATGAATTTATTCATCAAAATATGAACATATTTTATAACTTTTTCCCAGCGTTTTAATACAAATGCCGTTTTTATAGAAATCTTTTGTTCTACCGCGAAAAAATTTTGACACTTATTCTTTCAGATCACTTTTATTGAATTGCTTATTTCTCATATGGTTATCAGAGACAAATGAAAATCTGATGGACGAATGTGGTAGATAGAATAATCTCATTGAAATATCAAGATTGGATGTTAGAAAGATAAAAACTTTCTTTTCATTTATCCATACTGGCAATTTTTTTTGTTATTTTTCCTGAACGCTTTCTAACTAATCACAACAGATGTTGGAAGTAGGATTTTTTCGTATTTTAAAAACTCGTAATGATTTCAGCAGAAGTTCGAAATACAAAACAAAATTGCATTTTTGATGTTTGTGGCAGAGTTATTTGGAGATAACCAATG